TCCTGCAGCAGCTTCTGCAGTTCCCAGTAGCGTCTGCCGGGACCGCGCATGCAAACCGGGGTCTGCTCCCCTGCCTGCCCTCTGTGGGGAACCGTCCTGCTTTGGGACCTGCCGAGCGCTGTGTGCTTGCCTCTGCCCCGCCTGGCGCTGCCTGCAGCCCGAGGAGGAGCCCCAGGATTACGACTTCGCCTGGCTGGGTGCGCCCGCCTGGCAGCCTGGCAGCCGGCGCTGCTGCAGTCTTGTGCACCGAGTGTGTGTGCTGCCTTGATGCGCGGGACAGCCCCCAACTCGCCGGCGCCCTACTCTGTGCTGCCACTTCCCAGCACCCAACACCACTCCAGTCCTTGCGCGCGCGCCGTTGCGTTGCGTTTCCAGCGCCCAACACCGCTCCACTCCTCTGCCCGCCCGCCATCGCCGCCTCCACCTCCCTCCTGCCCCTGCAGGCGACTTCATTGACCGCCTGTCTGAGTTTGATAAGGACATGAATGGCGTTGTGGTGGAGTCGGGTGGGTGGAGGGGGTGGTGGGTGGGGCTGGCTGCTCCTGGCCTGCTGTCTTGCGGGCGGTGCATGGACTAAAGGGGTGGAGTCGGGTGGCTGGGGTTGTGGCGGAGTGGTGGTGGTGGTGGCCGGCACCCTGCCTGATTGCTTGCCCGCTACCTCCCCACTGCCTGTCTTTGCCTGCCCAACGGCGCTGTGCTGCTGCTTCTGGGCTTTCCTGCTGCTGCACGCGGGCACCGCTGGCATGTATGATGAATCGTTACGCTGTTGGCAGCATGGGTGTACCGCTGTCAATGCAGTACATGCTTGCTGCTGGCAAGCTGGAGATTCATTCGTTCGGCAGTTTGCGCTCCTTTGCAGCACCCCTACTGCCGGCAGGCGCCAGCAGGCTGCTCCTGCTGCCGACATGCGCTGTGTGCCGGCGAACGCCGCCACCTGCCGCCGCTGCCGCCTGCTCCGGCCTGCCGCGGCAGCCCCAGCCTGCTGCCTTGGCCATCCGCTGCTGCCACTACCCCCGCCCTCCACCCCCTGCAGGCATCCTGGGCGGCATCAAAAAGGGCATGCTGGCGAGAGCGGGCGCCTCCATCCAGATGCAGCCGGGCTGCCTGGACCTGCTGCAGCGGGCCACCGAGGCGGGGATCACCACGTGAGATTGCGTATTCTTGCTTTCTTACTTGCTTTCTTTATTTGTTTATTTATTTATTTATTTATTTATTTGTTTATTTATTTATTTATTTATTTATTTATTTATTTATTTATTTATTTATTTATTTATTTATTTATTTATTTATTTATTTATTTATTTATTTATTTATTTATTTATTTATTTATTTCTCGAGAGGGGCAGAGCAGAGCGGGAGCTCAGCTTGGCCTGGGGTCTGGGTTGGGCTGCGCATGCGCTGGTGCAGGTCTGGGATGAGGTTCCCTGGCTTGCCCGACCCGCTGCCCACCCGCCTGTTCCTCCTGCCCACCCCTCACCCCCTCTCCACTTCCCACTCAAAAAATGACACGCCTTAGGGGCATCAGTTGCACGTGACCTTGCCCCCTCCCCCCACGTCCCCTGCAGGTATGTGGTGTCGGTCAACTGGTCTGCAGAGATGGTGCGGGCGGCGCTGACGCAGCAGGGTCTGTCGGTGGTGCTGGCGGGTGAGGAGCACGACGTACCTGCTGCGCCCGCTGTGTCCCCGCATGATGCGCCTGCTGCGCCCGTGCCTGCTGTGCCTGCTGTGCCCCTGCGTGCTGGGCATGTGCCTGCCGTGGCCTGCTGGGCCTGCTGGGCCTGCTGGTCTCCGCCACAGCCTGCTGTCCTGCCCTTGCCCAGCTGGTTGAGGAAGCAGCGCAGCCCCGGTAGCTCCTCCCGCCGCTGCTTGCCGCCCCGCTCAGCCCTCCCCTGCACTCGCTCCCGCACCCCCCGGCCGACCCTGGTGCCTTGGCCCCCCGCCTGCAGAGGGCGACGGCGGCAACGCCGCGGCGGCCCCTGCCGGCTGCGTGGTTGTGTTTGCGAATGAGCTCGAATACTTTGGCGATACATCCACGGGCAACATCAAGAGGTGCATGTGTGTGTGGGGGGTGGGGGTGGGGTGGGGGTGGGGTGGGGGGGGTAGTTAGGCATGGATTGCGGACTGAGTGAGTCACTTGTGAGCTGGCAGGCTGGGCGGCAGTTGCCAGTTGCCAGTACCAGAGTACCAGCAATTTACAAACCCAGTGTACCTGGTTATTGGAAAGTACGGCGCGTGGGCGGCACCGCGCGGAGGTGGGGAGGTGATGGGGGTGGGAGCGGGGGTGGTCCCAGCAACGCCTTCGTTCCTGGGTGTCCGAGTTTAGAGTACTGCTCACCTGCGCTGACCTGGCGCCGCTTTCGTGCGCGCCACGTCAGCACCTGCCGGCTGTACGCGACGCCTGCTCCCGGACCGGCAGGCAGGCAGGCACCGCCGCTGACGGGGTCTTTCCTGGGTGTCTCATCTTGCACGCCAGCCCATTGTTGTTGTGTGTGGGGTGGGTGGAGGTTGAGGGATGCAGGCTGCCCAGGCAGGCTCTGTGTCGCGCGCATGTTGGTGGCGTCATATTCATGCAGACCTCGCCAGATCAGCGCGAGATGGCCGTGCTGACCTGGCGCCTGTCTGCATATATGTCAGCGCCAGCAACATGCACACGACACGGACTCCAGACTGGCAGGCAGCCTGCACCGCCGCCGCCCAGTGCTTTGCAAACCAACTCTGGTTGCATGGTAGGGGCTGCCTGTGGCCGAGGTGGCTGCCTGCAGCGCTGCCGCTCCGAGATGCTGTGTTACAACTCTAAAATCTTCTTGGCGCTGACTTGGCACGCCTGCCAGCGATGCGTGCCAGGTCAGCGCCAGCGGGGTGCAGGGTAAGACACAGGCTCCTGAAGCCGGCAGGCTGCTGCCCCACGATCCTTTCCTCGGCGCAGCGTGCATGCCACGGTCGCGACCTTGCGAGGGTGCCTTGGACTGGCTGCGTGCCGCCCGGCCTGGCCTGCGCTCCTGCACGTGCTCATTTGTCCCCTTGCCATGGCAATGCCTGAAGTGCTTGCTGCCGCATCTGTACAGCAAGTTTACGTATTGGGGTGGA